AGCCCCGGCCGGGCAGCGAGGCGGGGTCCCGGGTGCGTGGCACCCTCTTCCTCCTATGGGCGGAGGGGGCCACGGAGACAGACAGCGGGGTGCTGGAAAGACCCTTTCTGGTCCTCGGACCGAGTCTGTGCTTAGCCAGCCCTGCGGTCTCTAGATTCGTGTGCGTTTCTCACCCAGAATGAGACTGACCGCCTTGGGAGGTGCAGAGCTCCAGAAGCTAACCGGCCAGCTCTCCGGTGCCAGCGGCGCCCCTCTAAGACTCGAGGGACGGTGGCGTGTAATCGCGTGTTCATGCCAAGGCTACCCGACTAGGTGGTTTTGAGCCATCAAGTCCCAGGCAGGCATCTGGAGGAGAAACAACTGAGCACTGACCTTTTCTTACAACGCACAGTGTAATTTCCAGCCATCCTCAGCACTGTCCTCTTCCCATGTTCCCGAGGAGAGCTGTGGCTGTCAGGAGCGCAGTGTGTTTAGTAGAAGTTTTTCTTTCGGATTACTGGCTGGAGCTCTGGTCTGCTGCTAGATGAATCTTTACTGCTTCTTTTCGTAACAGATACGAGGAAAGATGTACTTGTGTTACATAAGGGTTGTAACTGTCCCTGGATATGTCACTGCTGAGTGCTTCCGACTCCCAAAAAGTAGTAAGCAAAGTGAGCCCTGCAAATACTGTTTTCTCTTTGGTTTCTAAGGTTAGACTGTAGTTAATAGTCTGTGCATGTTGGAAAAGTGCTGGGTCCAGTTTTCGTTTTGGGGTGGGGGAACCCCTTCTCAGATGACTTGATTCCACATAGCACCCCGTGTGAGATGGATAGAAGGAGATGAAGAAAGCATGGTGGTCAGCAGGGAATCACGAGGTCTCTGACCTTACTCTTGTCATTGGTGCCACCATCCTGGACTTCTTCCAACACTGACTGCTCCCTACTCGTTGAAATTTTGCCCTTAGTCTAGATCAAGAATGCCTAGCTCAGTAGCAGCCCAAGAGTCTGATGGCTCCCTTAGTTTTGTATCTTTTTTTTTTTTTTTCCTTGTCTGTGCCTTGCAGGGAAACATGAAAATGAATCCTTAAATGGGGATGAGTCAATATAATCAGGTAGTTTGGCTTTTCTAAAGGTGTATTTTTTAAAATCTGAAATTCACTTAGGGCAGAGGAACTTGTAAGTATTCGTTCTATGATAATTAGTCAAGGAATCTCCTTTCTGGAAGCTTTGTGATGGTTTAACCTCTTGGGCTTTTATTCTTGGAATTGTCCTGGTGAAGTATGTTCTGTAAGTTCTACTTTTCCTTGAGTTCCTAAGGAAGTCTGCTTTCTGGCAAATTGTAGAGACCTTCTGCCCCTGCCTGTGTTTTTTTCTTTGGTGGAGAAAAATCTTGTCTTTTAGATTAGGCACCCGGGAATTTGTTAACATGTGAATTTAGTCTTCATATCTTGGAATGTAGAGAGAAGTTTACCTTGACGCCACAGTGAAATTATTCCCTCCTAAGTCTCAGCCTGTAGCCATAAGTGGTACTGAAAAGGAGGACAGTCTGCATGTGTATGCAGTAGTGTCAACCTAAAACCAGGATATCTCTGTGGGACGGAGGGAGCTAGGGTCTCTTCCTGAGATTCTGCCAGACCTAGAAAGGGAGCAGAATGTCTATGGTGCATCTACAATGAGCACTCTGTAGCATGTTTCCTTCCTGCCTGTGCTCTTGGAACAGTTTCCATTAGTAATGTAATTGTTTCAGGCACCCAGATTCAATCTAAGTAAAGCCCCTGTTTTCTCTGCTAAAAACACTGCAAACAAACAGTCCCGACTCAGTCAGTCTCCGTAGACCTTGCTGTTGCTGACCCTCCGGGTTGCCATTGCAGCAGCCTGAACCACTAATCACTGCGTGCAATGTAATGAGTGACTGGATCCTGACAAACAGCAGCTGTCAGTTTGCCTCTTCCTTTTATATTCAAGCCTTGCAATTTCATTTGTTGGTCTGTCCTGAGGGTTTCATCTTTCTCCTACTCTGGATTGGGTTTTCCCATTTTGCTTCATGTGAAGGCTCTACAGCCAGAGAAAGGCCATTTAGGTCAAGGCTAGCACGTTTGTCCCTGTAGCCATTGGCTTTGGGTCAGGGGCTCTCCCTAAACAAGATCTTCTAATCACACTGAGCTCCATCTAAAAGTTGCTACCGGTTCTTTCATCTTTTGCTTTTTGCCTCTATGCAGCCCCCCCCCTACTTGGAACTGCCAAGGGATTCAACATGAACCTACTCACACCTGCTTTGGCCCATGCGTGCCATTCCTTTCTTGTTTTGGTCACTGTGTGTACTCTCTCTCCACTTGTCAGGTCTGCTCCAGCTCAGCCACCTGCTGAAGGGACGGAGGGGGCTGCCCCTGGTGGGGGTCCTCCCGGCCCTCCTCCCAACATGACCAGCAACCGACGGCTGCAGCAAACCCAGGCACAAGTGGAGGAGGTAGGTGGATGGGCGGTTCAGAGAGTCTCTAGTCACAGAAGTTCAGAGACAGGAGGGAGCATCTCACCTGTTCTCATTCTTATAGTGAGATGGTCAAAAGCCCTGGGGGATAGAGCGTCCCTTAGAGGACGCTGTGTAGGTTTGGACTTGTGACCCTCCAGATGTTCTTTCTGTCTTGAGCAGGAAACATGGCAGCTTTGTCTGTGCATCCCCCACAGGTGGTGGACATCATGCGAGTGAATGTGGACAAGGTCTTGGAGAGAGACCAGAAACTGTCAGAGTTGGACGACCGAGCTGATGCCTTGCAGGCAGGAGCGTCACAGTTTGAGAGCAGTGCTGCCAAGCTAAAGAGAAAGTATTGGTGGAAAAACTGCAAGGTGAGTTTCTGTGTCCCCCCGCTTTCTTTTCCTCTCAGTCCTTCCCCTGAAGGGTGCCGGCTCTGTGTCCTGCATGGATTTCCTCTTGGGAGGAAATGAGTGCCTACTCTGAATGCCCACATTGGCCACCAGGGTAGGCTAGAGTGTTAAGAGCCACTCGGAGAAAGTGCCACCCTGAGAAGTTCAGAGTGAGTTTGTAGCTTTTCCTCATAGGAGTCTCCTGCAAGAATTCCTGCTGGCCCTTCCTCAGACAGGCCCAACAGCACCACAAGAGCTCAGGTTTAATATATTCTAGAACATCTGCAACTTCTGGAGATGCCCGAAATTCAAATCAGACCAATTAAATAAAGATTCAAAGTCTGCCTTTCCATTGGAAATCCTTTTCAAGTGCCCAGGAGCCAGCTGTCTGCCCTGTGCTGTTCTTGGAGAGCTGCTGACGTGGTGCTGGGCTTCAGTCCCATGGGAAGGGGGGGTCCTTGCTCAGTGGCCTGCGGGTCTGATGGATGAGGGGTTCATCTTCCCTGTCGGACGGTGGAGGAAGTTCTGGTTGTGGTTCCTTCTGGCTCACATGTGCTCCATGTCTCCTCAGATGATGATCATGCTGGGAGCTATCTGTGCCATCATCGTGGTAGTTATTGTAAGTAAGTATCGCTGAGGTGGCTGATGGGGTGACGAGGTGGGAAGGTCCTGGAGTCTCCTCCCAGCCCTGCCTGCTGCCTGCCTGGGGAGTGGGGCTGCTCTGACTGAGGTATGGAGACCGCTGCTGTGGGACTGTCACGGGCTTCGGGAGGGAGGAAGGGCTGCACTGGGGAACTTTGTTGGTAGATGGGCCTTGTACCTGCTCCAGGGGATTGGGGCTGTGCTATTTTTCCCTGGCTGGGGTCAGAGGGAGACTGTGGGGCTGGGGCACTTGCGACTGGAAGGCCTGGATGTCTGGTAACTTGGTGTAATTTGCCCTCTTGTTTTCTCCTGTCTCTCTCTTCTCCATCTGGGACTTCCTGACTCCTGTGTCCAGTCTACTTTTTTACTTAAGAATGTTTCATCCCTTCCCTGTTCTCCATTGCCATCTGAGCTCATGTCCTCCTCCTCCTGTTTGCTCTCTCAACAAACTTCCCATCTGCCTCCCTCCCTCCCTCCTGGCCCGGGCTTCCCCATCATCCATTACACCCTTTTGGTTGCATTCATTTGCACTCTGTTCCTCAACACTGGAAATGCTGCTTGTGGCACAGTCTTGAAGTCACTACCTGAAGAGCAACAGCTTGCACCTTCTCCCTATCCCTTCCTATGCACTCTCATGTTCCCCAGAGCTGGACAGAGTTGGTGGCCAAGGCAGGGGCGGGGGAGGCTGAGTGACCCAAGACGCTGGCAGGGTTGGTGGTAGGGGAAGGGCATTGGTGCCCAGGGCATCTCCTAGAAAGGCTGCTGAGAAGGGGCCTGAGCAGATGGGGAAGTGGTGATGGGCCGTCAGCGGCCCAGGCCAGCGTGGTCCTGATGCAGTACCTGCTTAGAGTCCAGCCAGCATTTCACAGTTCTTGCTAATCTGTTAGTCCAAGGTTTTCTGTGTTTTTGAGGACCTCACAGCCATTTACTTTGTTCCCTATCGGCCTGCAAAACAAGTCTTCACTGAGACTGTTTCAGAAATGGTCCCACTTGCTTCTACTAGAAGGAGCTGTCTCTCTGTTTTCTGTGTTGTTCACAAGGGCACCAGGGAGTTTCATCTGGCCCAAGTTAGAGACTCTTGAGTCAATTTTAATTCTTGGCATACAGGGATGCCCATTAGTCGTGGGCCTATTTTGAAAGTAACAAGCTTGCAGGAGCAGCTTCTTGCCCTCTCATAAGGTCCCCTTCCTCCCTTCCCGCTGATAAAGGAACGTGTGTGTGTGTCAGAGGTGAGCCTTGGACTCCCACGGAACCCTTTCTCTTATGCCACTCCAGGTACTAAGACAGGTTGGGGCAAGAGGTCCTTCCCCAGGCTGCTGACCTGAGGGTCCAGGGGAGTCCCGCAGCTCCGTCTTGGTGGGGCCGCACGGTCAGTGCTAGGTGTGCAGGTGTGTGTCATGGTCCATGCAGCGAGAGCTGCCTGTCCACTCTGCTCTGCCTGCAGTGTTCCCATGCCCATCTGACCCCATGCTGCCCTCTGTTCATCTTTGCATACTTTGTGTGCAGACTCTACGACCTGAGTGGCCTGAGGATGGGAGCAGCTCAGCCTATCCTATCCTGAGGGCTTTTTGGGGTTTTTTTGGTGGTAGTACAGGGGATTTAACCCAGATCCTTTGCAGTAAGTTATATTCCAGCGTTTTTTGTAATCTTTATTTTGAGAAAGAGTCTTGCTGAGTTGCCTAGACTGGGCTTGAACTTAAGATCCTCCTGCCTCAGCCTCCCAGAGTGCTGAGATTTATAGGCACGTGCCACCTTGCAGCTCCTGGGAGCTATCGCTGAGCTTCAGGATAGGATGAGCCCAGGTGCTAGGGAAGAGGACAGGCTGCGAAATACCACGGCCTTAGTGCCTTCTGTCCACTGGTACACAAGCAGGTGGCGCCCGAGAACGCTCCTCCCATCAGCAGCATTTCACCACAAGCCATCCTCCCTTCCTGCCTTCCCGCCTTCCCTCCGTCCTCGCCAGGGCGGGATGAAGAGCTGGAAGAAGGCAGTCAGTGCACCTCCAGCGCCCTTGGAGGTCTTCACCTCTCTGGGCCCCCTCCTAGTGCAGGGGTCACTGCTGGAGTAGAAGAGCCACTGTCTGGATGCATCTCAAGCTGGAGCAAACCCACTCTCTGCCACCTGGCCAAGCACGGGGTCATTTCTTGTGTTTCTGCCTCTCAGGCAAGCACACCCCATGTAGCTGGCTCTGTTCTTTTGGGGTGTTTGCCCTCCCACTTCTTTCTCACTGCACCCTGAGCCTCTTTGGTGTCTGCCCTTCCCCTCCCTCCCACTCCCCGTGTGCATGAGCAGATGCACAGCTGAAGCCAGGACTCTGCAGTCGGATGAAGCCAGCTCCCGCGTCCCCATCTTGGGTTTGCCGTTAGCTGACGTGGGCTTTCCACTGTGTGTCTGTCGTCGCCTCTGTCTCCTCCTGACCCCAGGCTCTTCCTTGTATAGAATGCTAACAGTTGTACTTCCACCAAAGGCATGTGGTGTATTTACCAGTTTCATGTATTCTGAACAAAGGCAGAAAATACAGATTCCTACTACTCAGCCGGCTCTGTTATTGTCTGGGTTGGCATGATGGGAGGGTGGGCGAGTTGATCCTTGCAGCCGTCCTCAGGCTGCGGGTGGGCGGGCCACCTGTGCCGTGAGTGTTGCGGCAGAGGAAGTGGTCTGTGCTCGACTATGTACCTGCCGCGGCACGGGAGGGAGGAAGTCATGGCAGGAAGCGGAGTGGGCATCTCACGGCAGGTGCTCAGCCCTGCTCAGCTCCTCTGCTGGCCCCAGCCTGCTTGTTCTGTCCGGGATGCAGAACACCTTCTGCACCAGCTCCTCTCCCGTTGTCCTCACACGCCTGCTGAGGCCGTGTGTCCATGCTGACCCCGCACATTGTAGGAATGAGTGAAGGGAGATGCTTGTCTTCCACGGGAAGGAGTAGGTGTCCTGCAATTCCTCTGAAGGCGCAGGACATAATTGCAGCTCAGGGCTGCGTGGACCAGCAGACAGCCCTGCTGTGCCTCTGAGGACCAAGGTGGAACAGCTGTGACTTGGGAGAGGCCTTGGTAGGGACCACCACAGAGAGACCAGAAGATGGGAGACTTTGCCTCAGTGGACACACAGGCTTTTATTTTGACAGCACTCCATTTGTGAGGGGCCCTGTCTCTAGCCTGCCCATTGTCCCCCACTCCTTCCTCATTTCTTTTTGTTCTCTACCTCACCTCACATGTGGCCCTCTGGCGTCCACCTCCACCCAGATGTCTGGCTTCTTGGTGCCCCTCACCTCCCCTTCTCTGCCTTGACCAGCAACCCAGGGCACACGGTGGAGGAAGGGTCGCCTGCTGGGGCCCAGGCTTGGGGCCTGCTGAAGGCCTTCCTAGGTCTGCAGCACTGTGGAGAATAAGGCTACGCTGTGGTTGCAGTGCCTACTCCGAGTGCCTTGGATCCTTGATATGCCTTGTTGAAGAAGCTAAGAGAAAAGGGAACAAGATGGATTCACTTGGGGTCGCCCCAACAGCGAGAGGCTGTCTGGGGTGGTGGGGGCCTGGAACATGGGCGTCGGGCTACATTCCTGGTAGGTGGGTCTGCAGGTCAGTGAGCAGCCAGGGCTCGGGTGCGCACTCACCTTGCCATCTCTGAAGCCCCAGGAACAGCAGTGCCAGAAGGAAGAGGCAGCTGGCAGCGATGATTCCGGTGGCCGTTTCCCACTCTGCAGGGGCAGCAGCACAGGCAGGGGTCATCGCCTCTGCTGAGCTGAGTGTGTGTGCAGAGTGCTACTCACGTAGGCGGTTCCCCTGCCCCCTACAGGACAGCCTTGCAGAAGCTGCTTGTGAGAGGCTGGGGGCCATCAGCCCTGACAGTTAAACTGGGGGAGCTCATGCACCCCAGGCACAGCCCCAGCTCTGGGAGACGCTGTGTAGCAAGCAACCTAATAAAGCCCTGTTCCTGGATGCCTGCCTTTCAAGGTGCAGCTCCTGTCATTCCTGTCTCTCCTGCCCCTCTCAACTGCACTCAGTGACTTTCAGGGTGATGTTCCAGTCTGAAGGCCCACTGAGGTTACAAGGTTAAGCCTGTAAGGAGATCACAGTGTCTGTTTCCCATTTTCTCATTTCCATTGATTTGTAGGTGACCTTGGGCACATGATTTCACATCTGCAAGTGCCAGCTCTCCGAGTTGTGCCAGGCACAGTGGTGGTGGAACTATGGCGTACTCATAGTTCCTGCTCGAGGGAGTTGAGGCAGATCACGAGCCCAGGAGTTCAAGGCCAGCCTGAGCAGCATAGTGAGGCTCCGTCTCAAAAAATAAGAATGAGTCATAGCACATGGGATTGTACTTAATGTGTAAGTGCTTACTGCAGTACTTGGTTCATGTAAAGGCTCTGTAAATGTCATTACCTCTGGAGTTTCAAGCCACTTTCCTTTTCTCACATTACCCTTGGCTCTAGCTGTACCAAACAACTGGCAGTTTCTTCACTTCTTTTTCGGCTGTTTTACAGTTTGCCCTTTCCGTGTGCTGTTCTTCCCATCTTGTGTGTCCCTTCCCCTCAGCTAGCACCTGGCCTGTCCCTGCCTCCCTGGTCCTGTGTCCAACTGGACCGAGCTGGAGGGTGGGTCAGGAGTCCTTCAGCACTGACTCCCCCAGCAAATTGTCCAGCCACTGGAGGCTGTGGCCTTGGGAAAGACAGGACGGGCAGGAACGTGAAGCTGGGACTGGACAAAGTGTGCTGGTGGCAGCACAAGGCCAGAGACAGCTGGGGCAGGAGAGCCAGAAGCCCACACAGGCGGGGCGGGGAGGACACACCCAGTACCTGTGCTCTGGACAATCCTGGTGCTGACTGCAAGGGGCTTCTCCAGGGAGATGTGGGTGACCTGGCAGGTGTAAGTATTGCCCGTTGGGCCAGGGTCCACGGTCACGGAGGAGGAGGTGCTGTAGGTGCCTGCCATGCTTTGCCTGAGGCTAGAGAAGGTGGCACCCGAGACTCGGGCTGGGGCTCCACTGCCCTCTTCTCGGATCCACGTCACCACCACGTCCAGAGGGTAATAGCCAGTGACCTCACAGGTGAGCGTGGGCAGCTGGGTGCTTTCTGCCAAGCTCAGTCGTGCTTTGGGGGGAGCTGGAGAAAGAATGGGGAATAAAATTCCTGAGGGGTCCATCTGGGGCCAATGGGGAGCCTGAGCCCGAAGCCCCGAGTGTGGGGTGTGGAGGCCCCAGTGTCCCAAAGGGTGGGCGGTGGGGTCCCCCTGGATGCTGGCTGTAGCTATGGCTTTCCTCTTCCTCTTTCTGGGTAGTCCTGGAGGTGGAACTTCGGGCCTCGCTCATGCTAGGCAAATGCTGCAGAGCTACACCCCAGCCCCATGACTTGCTTCTTGTCATCACTGAAAGCCAGCGACTTTAAAGGGAATCAGAGGTGTACGGTACACCTCCTGGTCAGGACTGCTCCCTCCACCCCTTCTTGGTCCCCTGCTGCTCCTCAAGACACCGTCCAAAAGGACTGGGGAGACCTGCGGAGACCTGCGGACTGGCCTGGCAGGCAGCAGGGTCTGCCTGGACGGCTCTTGGTGGAGTTGGTAGGCTCCAGGAGACCCCGTGAGGCCATCTAGGCCTAGGGTGGAGATGGTGTGTGGCCAAGAGAGCTCAGTCTACCTCCCAGGAAGCGCCCTCCCAAGTCCTGGCCTCACCTTGGATGTTGAGCTGGATGATTTGCTGAGCCTGGTACCGAGAGGTAGTGACCTGGCAAATGTAGGTCCCCTCATCCTTCACCCCGAGGCCAGGCAGGGTAAGGGAGGCATCCCCAGCCCTGAGTAGCTGCTCGGGCAGCAGGGTGGCACCTTCCCGCTTGGCCTGGCCCTGCCCTGTCCTCCAGTGGTATACCAGCTGGCCGCTGCCCTTGTGCTGCCGCCGCCACTCCACACGGATGAGTTCTAGGCCTGGTGCCATGGAGAAGCCACAGTGCAGGGAGGCTGAGGAGCCCAGCAGGAAGTTCAGGGATTGGGTCTGTGTTGTTACTTGGAACTCCACTGTGGAGACACAATGGGGTGACCTGGGGATGCTTCCTCCTGAGGTCACCTGCTCTCTGGGCTACGGGTGCACCGGCCCTGCCCCTGGCCTGGACAGTGAAGTCACTCATTTCCCATTGGCAGAAATTCAAAGACATGGGGCCCTGGAAGAGCAGCCTGGTGCACATCATCGCTCACCCATGAGATGGGCTGGTGAAAGTGATGGACCGTCCCCAGGAGACATGGGCAACACCGTGGTTCTCCTTCCCAGCCACTGTCCTGGCTATGCCAGTGCAGCTGCCAGGTTCCGGAGCCTGGCTGTTCTGGTCACTAGGCTTTCGGTGTCACCAGGCTCATGGGCTGAGCGAGGCTGCTGAGAAGACTGTGATGAGAGGTTACGAAGTGTACACTGTTGGTATTTGTCCCAGACATGCTGGACCTCAATCAGATCATGAGGAGAACAAGCAGACAAATGTGTAGTAGTGCGATGTTCTACAGGACAGCTAGCCTGGACTCCAGCAATGTCAAGGTCAGACCGGGTGTGCCGGCACATGCCCCTAACCCCAGCACTCTGAGACTGAGGCAGGAGGGTCACAAGTTCACGCCCAGCCTGCGGCAACCTAGTGAGTTAGCCAAGACCCTGTCTCAAAATTTAAAAAGGGCTAGGAATGTAGCTCAGTGTGAAGGTCCTGTGTTCAATTCCCAGTATGAAGAGGAAGAAAGAAAGACAAGAGGGAAGGGGAGGCCGGGAGGCTCAGGGATGTAGCTGTGGGAAGGGCCTGGACTCCATCCCCAGTACCACCAGCACCACCACACAAAAGCTGGTGCTATAGAAGGGTGGTCTGTTTTTTATTTTTTATTTATTTACTTGTGTGTGTGTGTGTGTGTGTGTGTGTGTGTGTGTGTGTGGTACCGGGGATCAAACTCAGGTCCTTGTGCTTGCAAGGGGCAGGCCATGGAACCACTGAGTCAAATCCCCAGCCCAGGAAGAGTGGTCTAGGCTGAAGAATAGGAGCAAGTAGCCAAATGCAGTGCATGATCCCTGTTTGAATCCTGGATTTAAAAAAGAGCTATAAAAAAATGGGGACAGTTGGAGAAATTTGCATTTGCACTTTATGTTTGAAAGTAGTATATCAACTTAGAAATATCTCAGGGTGCTGAGTGAAGGCCAAGCAGGCACGACACGGCCTTACCACTGCCACACTGTCACTTGCCAGCAAAGGGTGCTGGGGATAATGTGCCATCTGATGGTTGATTTTGTAATTAAATTCTTTATACACTGTGCCGTGGGTGGACCACTGGCCCCCTCAGTTTGCTTCTGAGATGACAGCTCTGTGATTATGGAGAGCGTCTCTGTCCCTCATGAGAAACTAACACGTCACAATCCAGAGAGGTGCATCTGTATTTGCATATTGGGAAGCAGGGACAGACTAGTGACAATCAGTGTCTAGGTACAGTGTCTTCATACACATTCTATTATTCACGTTTTTATAGGTTAGAAAACTCCACAGAGTGGGGTAATACCGCACCACGTCAGGCTTAGGGTAGACACTGGACACATGTATCCCTCTCCCTCTCCCTCTTTCCCCCCTCCCTCCCTTTGACAGGGTCAGGCTGTGGACTCACCAGGTAGTCCAAGTTGGCCTCAAACTCAGCACCCTCCTGCCTCAGCCTTCTCAGGGCTGGGATCACAGGCGCACGCCACCATGCTCAGCTAGCTTTCTTTCCTGATATGGTGGGATGCATTTAGTTTGGGCCTCAGAAAGGTTAGTATTCTAGGATTTTCCAAGGATAGAACAGCCCTCTCATCTTCCATGTACCTGGCTGGCAAAATACTGGTTTAGATGGGCCCTGGAGAGACCTATCATTGTGTTCTCGCTTTCATGTGACACAGGCTGCCTCTGTGGGAGACCCTGCCTCTCAGCGCCTCCTAGCATTCCCTTGGGGCTCGGTGCCCTGAGCCAACCACATGGACAGAGTGGACTCCATCCCTCAAAACAGAGTACCCGGTGTGCTCAAGCAGACCAACAGTCTGAGAAGTATGTTCCCACTTGATGTAAATCAAGTCCTCTTGATCAGGTGACACTGTTCCCACCTGCATGAGCTGAACCAGCATCGGCCTCACCCTCTTGCTGCTTTAAAGAAACAGCATTTCTTTTCTGCTGCTTGCTTTTTGTGCTCTTACCTGTGGTCTGCATGGTCCCCTGGGGGCTCAGGGGCAGGTTCAGCGTGGGATGCCGGGCAGCCCTGTCACCTGCGTCCTCAGTCGTCCTCATCACCATAGAGACACTGGGTCCCTGTCTGGACACCTGCACGGTGGCCATGAACGAGGCTGCCAGCCTGGCAGTGGCCTCTGCTCTGGCCTGGAGGTAGTAGTGGGAGATCTCACAGGTCACCACCTTCCCACTGCAGTCAGCGTGGAGCAGTGATGCAGCCTGTGGGATCTGCACCTGGTCCACTGGGGAGAAGGGGGACACAGAGGTCGGGCGGGGTGTGGGCCCGGAGGGCAAGAACACAGGGTGGACAGCACCTACCTGAGGCCTCGAAGATGGCAGGCTGGTCACCCTTGGCCACCATGTCCACTTGGAAGTCAGTGAAGCCTTCCAGGGAGCCATCGTCCAGCACCGGCACCTGCTTCAGCACCAGCACGGCCTTTTCCCTGGTCATGTCGCTGGCAAAAGCCCCATGGTGCCCGGCCTCTGTGACCAGGAAGCAGTCTAAGATCATGTCCACTGGCCGCCACAGCTGCTCTGCTGCCTGGGGCTCTGCGGGGACATTCTGGGCTGAGTGTCCTCGCTCAGGTCACTTCTCAGCTGCTTCCCTCCTGGGGCCCATGCAGAGTCATTTAGGGTCAGAGTTGTCCATGGGGCCCTGGTGACTTTGTGTACCTGCATTCTGTCATCCTCCTGGTTTGCCATGCTGGGCAAATACTTGTTGGTGTGAATTATTATTATTATTATTATTATTATTATTATTTTATTATTATTTTATTATTTTATTATTATTTTATTATTTTTTATTTTGGTGCCAAGAATCAAACTCAGGGCTTCATGCTTGCCAGGCAGGTGCTGCATTACTGAGCCATATCCCTGGTCCCAATGTGAATTATTATTATTATTTAATTTTTAGGATTTTTTTTGAGTCAGGGTCTTGCAGTGTAGTTCATGCTGGCCTTGAATTCACTGTGTAGCCCAGGCTTGCCTTGAATTTGCAGCTATCCTCCTGCCTTAGCCCTGGGATTATAGGTATGCACCACTACACCTGGCTTTGCTGTGGAAAAAAATTTTTTTTGAGACAAGGTCTTGCTAAATAGTTCAGGCTGGCCTCGAACCCACAGTAATCCTGCTTCAGCCTCCTGAGTGCTGGGATTACAGGCATATGCCACCATGCCCAGTTGCTGTGAATTACTTAAAATTCTGGATCTGCCAGGGGTTTGTGCTTTTATTCTTATTCCAATTATGAATGAAAGACTGCTTTTTCAGTCAAAGCAACTCCCAGCAAAAACAAGTAAGTGACCAAATAAATACTGCTGTGGGAAGAGGAGCCAGGCAATGGCTGTTGTGGGCGGTGACAGCCATCTTCCGGTTTCTGCCCTCTGCCACTGTGTGGCCTCCCCGCCCCCACCCAGCGCCCCTTCCCTAGATCTCCTAGGCTAGGGAGCCCCTCCCAGGCCAAAGCCTTCTCCCTCCCGCGGGATGGTGGCTCCCTGGCTCCCTGCCGCTTGTGGAGAGGAGCCCTCTTCCCTTGTTCCTGCAGGGTCCTCCGTCTCTCTCCTCACCCTTGGCTCCTGAGCCTCTCCCCTAGTGGGCTTAGAAGGCAATGGGAAGTGGGGCCGTTCCTGGCCCCCAGGCCCTTCTGGAGCCCTGGAGAGGGTGGCCACCTGGGCCCCCAGCCAGCTTCCTCAGCCAGTCCTCCGACTCCACTCACCGGCTCCTGCTGCTCCGGACAGAGCCACACACAGCAGCAGCAGCAGCAGCAGCCACCAGCCCCACGCCATACCCATGGGGTTCCTCGCCTTGCCTGCTGCCCGCGAGCAGCTGCCACGCCTGCTCGGAGAGCTCTTTGAACACCCCTCCTTGGCCGTGGGTTTCTTCGTCGCCTCTGGATCTCTTTCACTTTCACTTGAGCAGATGTCACTGTGGCTGCCTTTGCCTCTGGGGAAGCCAGAGTTCTGCTGTGTCCTCCTGACCCTTCCCAGCAACCCCAAGCCCAGTCACCGCTGCACCATGGAAGAACCAGGAAAGGGGCTGTAAACCATGGGGAGGGGGCACCCAGAGAGCCAGAGAAACCCCAGGGGCCACACCCACTCTGCCCCACCTCAGCGGGGAGCTGCAGAGAGGAAGCCAGAACTGTGGGTGGGAGCTGTAACTTTTATTTTGCCCATGTTGTGGTAGGTTTTTTTGAGACAGGGATACTGCACGTGGGGCTTTCACTTCCAGAAGAGTGTTTTACAGCGAGCCTGGGCCCTCCTGCAGAGCAGGGCCACACGCGCTGGGTTCCTGCGCTTGTCACTGCAGTCTAGGAAAGGCACTTTGTCAAGTGCAGGCGCAGCAAAGGTCTGGAGAACAGGAGGACTGGATGGGGCGGGATCTCGCTGTCTGGGTGGCCCGTGGGGCAGAGCTCTACCATGGGAATGTTACGGAAGGAGACGGCAAGTGACACAGAGAGGCAGCAGAATGGAAGTAAAATAAAAAAGTTTACTCCATCGTTGGGGATCGATCACACCTAATGGCGGTGCCCTGATCGACTCCTCTGTAAGACCTAAAGTCTCACTTCCACTCCACGGAGCGTGAACAGCCGAAAGGCCTCCACGATGCTGGGCCCTAACACCCAGCGAGGCTCCGGGAACACGACAGAGAACCGAGAAACCCAGGAAGGAACACACCAGCCTAGATGGTAAAGAGACCTTTATTAGTCTGGCCAGACGGCACTCCCGGAGCCAGGTGGCTCAGAGAGGCAACTGCTCAGGGGCTGAGGTACTTTTTATAAGGTTTTTCTAAACGAAGAGTCAGGGAATTCACAGAACAAGACTGCAAACACATTGCTTATCTTATGCAGGAAATGTTCTAGGGTCACCTTTTGTCAAACCATTTGCCCCTGGGCGGGCTGTTAACCAAGGTAGCAATTAGCATATGAAGAAGCACAGTCTGGCCTATTAGCATGGAGTCACTTTAGCCTATTCAAGTCTTACACCTCCATTGGGCTACAACTCTTACTTTTATAGGGTTTTACAGCTTTGATCTTACTCAGTTGGTTACATTGTATTTTCAGATACCCAAAACATTATAGCAAGGCAGTTGAATTTCAACCTGGATGCAGTTCTTTGTAAGGGAAGTTACCTTTTAGATTTATTCAATTGCCTACTCTAGCCAGGGGGAAGGGAGCTTGTTTCATTAACAAAGCTAACAGTGGTTCTTTTCACTTACAAACTTTTGTGGGGAGGCTAGGTATCTCCGGTACTGGTTGATTCTGAACTAAGCTGGCTGAGGGGCAGAAGTTATCTTTTTTTTTTTTTTAGAAGGTAGAAATTTTAATTTAATATTTTTTTCAAGCCATACTTAGACAAACTCAACGAACGTTAAAAATACAATGTAGTAAAAAATTGTGACATCAGCTAAATACATGTGTATGTCATAGAAGAAATTTCCAAGGTAATCAAAAAAAGTCTGATCAGCAGAGTAGCAATGTATCATTGGTCTCTGATCCAGGAGGATCTTGCTCTTGGTCTCAGACCAGAAGTTATCTTATATTGTGACATTTCCTAAATTTTCATTTATTAAAGTTTTCTCTATCAGGAAGACCCTCCCTCAGCTCCTGGCCACTTCAGGGGTAGGAGAGCAGTTCCGGCTTCCAGTGGTCCTCCTGCACGGGGACAGTGTGACCCTCCTCCTCCTGCGGGCAGCTGTAAGGACAGGGCTCCAGAGGCTCCCCGGGGTCTGCTCCTTTGTCTGCAGGAGGAGAGTGATGGAGAGAGTGCCTGAGGCAGGAGGCCTGGGAATGAGGGCTGCCGGAGGGACAGGCAGGGAGATGGCTGGGAAGGGCAGGAGGGGAGGCCTGGGTTCTGTCTCTTACTTGCTCTGCATTTTCTCTGTTGGTGGAGGAATAGGGCTCCGCTCAGGGTGAAAACGAAAAGCATGCTAGTGAAGATCACATAGACGCGTGTGTAGTCTGTGCTGCACAGGGACCTGGGGGCTGTGGGGACACACAGGGCCCCAGAGGGTCTCGCCTCGTTCTCCTGACACCCTGCACCCGTACCTGGACCTGCTGTCACCCTCCCCAGAGAAGCACCCGCCTGGCCTCTGCTTTCTCTCTGGGAAGGGGATGGGGGGACTCACCTGGCCATGGGGTGGGGAGAGCTGGGCCTGGCATCTGCTGGAAGTCAGCTGGAGTCTGCCTCGCCCCAACAGTCCTGGCTTCCAGCACCTCTGGGGAGACATGAGTGAGCCCCCAGGGCATGCTGGGAGGGTGAACATGGGTGTGGGGAGCAATGGCCGATCCGATTGGGGTGGGGCTGGAACTTACTCTTGGCAAGTGGGGAGAGGCTAGGGGGATGGGGCGGGCCTGGGGCCACTGGTTGAGTAGCAGGCAGTTCTGGGAGGGGGTCACACTCCAAGCACTCCGTGTCCCTGCACTGGTGGCCCACGGGGCAGGCACACTCAGTATTGGCGGTGATGTTGCAGTTGTGAGTGGCAGGACCTGGCAAAGAGGAGGGTGGGGGGGCAGAGGACGCTGGGTTCCAACCACCTGTGGCTCCACAATCCAGTCCCTGTAAGACTTGAATAAGCTAAAGTGACTCCATGCTAATAGGCCAGACTGTGCTTCTTCATATGCTAATTGCTACCTTGGTTAACAGCCCGCCCAGGGGCAAATGGTATGACAAAAGGCGACCGTAGAACATTTCCTGCATAAGATAGCAATGTGTTTGCAGTCTGTTCTGTGAATTCCCTTTTTGTTTAGAAAGACCTTATAAAAAGTACCTCAGCCCCTGAGCAGTTGCCTCTCTGAGCTACCTGGTTCCAAGAGTGCGGTTGGGCCAGACTAGTAAAGATTTCTTTACCATCTAGGCTGGTGTGTTCCTTCCTGGGTTTCTCGTTTCTCCGTCGACCTCCCGGAGCCTCGCTGGGTGTTAGGGCCCAGCATCGTGGAGGCCTTTTTGGCTGTTCACACTCCGTGGAGTGGAAGTGAGACTTTAGGTCTTACATCCCCAGCCTCATTCTGGGTCCTTTCTATCCCCTCTGCCTCACCCACACAAGGGCCTGCCCCTCCTTCGTGGATACCTGCAGCCTTCACCATTGTTATAGCTGTGAGTAAAGAAAAAGGTTGGCCGGTTGAGGTGAAACATGCCTGTAATCCCAACACTTGGGAGGTTGAGGCAGGAGGATCACCAGGAGTTCAAGGCCAGCCTGCACTACATAGTGAGACCCTGTCTCAAACAAAAAAAGAAAAGTTGGCAATTTAAGAAAGTTCTTAGGCTCAGAAATGGAAACTGCAAAGCAGAAAGAGCTTATACCATGTTATTTCCTTACTCATGGATGCTTTGTTAATGTCTATGGAAGTGTGGTATGTATGTAGAGTTACAGTGCGCTGAATGCAAGCTTGAGAATCAGATTAGTCTGGCAGCCCTGGGGAGTGGCCATGCTTCTGACTTCTAGCTCCGTACACTGATTGTGTGGGTTGGCATGGTGCACTGTGAACCCATTTGTGTCTGGCTGCTTTTCCTGAGCCCCTCGTGTGGCTCATCCACGTGGGTGACTGAAATTGCAGCGAGTTTGTCCCAGGTGTGGCATTTCCTTCCAGCTTCCCCAGATAGGACGCTGCATGATCCTGCCAGGTTTCTAACTTCCCTGGAGAGTTACTGATTACAGACATCCCCTGCCTTTAAAATATCCTTTGCCTTTAAAACATGAATCCTTCCCCACCCCTCCATGGTGAGGGGCTCTAGGCTGGGCAGGGGTTGGGGTTGCAAGGAAGGGAACTGGGGGGTAGGCAGTGACACCTGGATGTGGGACCAGCTTGCAGGACCCTCTGGCTGCACACTCACTGGGATCCTGGTGTCCCAGGAGCAGGGACAGGTGGAAGAAGCACTCAGGAAGGGAGGACACCAGGGAGCTCACTCAGCTCTGCTGCTTCTTTGCTTAGACCTTTGTCAGGACCAGGTGGAGACAAGTCCCTTCCATCCCACCCCGGGACTTCTCCTGGGTTCTGACCCACCTGCTACCTGAACTGAGCTTCCTTGCAGCTAACCAGGAACTGAACCACCGTGGAAAGGACCAGGGAAGAGCAGGAGACACTGGGGACACGAGGGGGACAAGAGTGACAGGGTGGGAGGCTCTTGAGGTTCTGCTAAGAAGGAAGAGGGGTGAGGACGGAGTGCCCTTGCCTGCAGCTGTGTGTCCATTCAGCGTGTCTCATGCAAGGAAGCCAGCTAAGTCCAGGCCCTTCCTGACCCTAAAGATGCGAGAGACAGAGCCAGGCACGGTGCCATGTGTGGTGGGGAGCCTTCTGTAGCAGGTGCTGCCTGAGTGCCCTGGGACCAGAGAAGATCCATGCGTGGCCTGGGGGTTGGGATCAGAGCAGGGCCAAGGCCGGCTCTTCTGTGAGGAAGAAGCCTGCTGGTGGGGCCTCGGAGTGGGTGACTCTGATCAAAATGCTCAGCCCTGCAGAGGCACAGCCAGGAAGAGAAGAGCGCCTGCCAACAGACACAAACCAAAGCTGCGGTCTGCTCGTGTGTGTGTGTGTGTGTGTGTGTGTGTGTGTGTGTGTGTGTGTGGTGGGGAATGGAGCCTAAGACCATGTGCATCTTAAGCACACACTTTACCACTGAGCTACAAGATGTAGCTCTTTGATTTGCAACCACAAAACTCTTTTTTTTTTTCTTTTAACAAAGTATGCAATTTATTAAGAACTTGATAGACAGAAGGGACAGAAGCCTGTTTTGGTAAGCAGCAACACAGAAACTTTTCTTTTTGAAAGAATACAGTAGGAAAAGACCTCATGAGACCAATCTCAAGGTGCGGCTAAGTACAGCAGTTACAGGGAAGGAGTTCTCAGAACTGTGTTGCCAGAGAACATTGTTGGTTCAAAAGAACCACTTTAGAGCCTGCTCTTGTGGTGTACTCTGACACAATTCTGAATTTCTGGCTAAGATGGAGAAGCAACAATAGAGCCCATAAGCACAGATACAGATACTGTGTCTCTTAATTTAAAAGAGATGAAGTTGCAAAATAAGAAAAACACTGGTCACATACATACTCATCCCCTCACCAAAAGGCTTTTGTGCAAAGGAGGTCATTACCTCCTGGCTTATATTATTTCCTTAGAAAGATGTATTGCAACTGAACCAAGACATATCATGTAAAGGTACAAGAGCCCAATGATAAATGTAACTATATTGTTTAATTTAAATGTACCAATAAATTTAACAGGGGAAAAAACAGATTGATGAGTACAAATAGTGTATAAGAGTAGGTTAAAAACTTCTAATTCCATAAAAAAATATATATATATATAGTATAGAGCCACTATTTTACAGTTTTGTTACTATACATCTATACATATACTGCAATTTTGTCTTTCTTTGTATAGTTCTAATGATTTAGATAAATGCACACGTTGCTGTAATCACCACTTGAATGGAAAAAAAAATGTATTGCAACTGTTAAATAGCCAGCTTGCAAATAAATGTGAAATCTGTGAACACAGTGTTTTATGGGTTGGAGTTGGTTATTTGTAGAAAATACAGGGTCCCAGGGTTACTTCCCTCTTTGTATATCCTTTTTTTTCTTCCGGAGACAAGGTCTCCCTGTGCTGCTCAGGCTGGCCTTGAACTCCTGGGTTCAGGTGATCCTCCTGCCTCAGCCTTCTGAGTTGCTAGGATGACAGGCATGTACTACCACACTCAGCCATGTTGCTCTTTCTGTTGTCTCATCCTATCCCTCAGCCCCTTCACTGGCCCCTCAAGCCTGCTTATTGCCTCCCCCACATCAGCACCTGCCTTACCCTGGAACCCCACTTCCCTCCTCACTTCTCCACCCCTGCACGCTCTCCTGGGTGGCCGCCTGCACAGGCTCGCCTGTCTCACCCCAGTGGCAGTGGCGACAGCTCTCACAGTGGCGCCGGCTGTGGTAGTCTGGAGAGAAGGAAAGGCCTGGTTTACACGAGTCACACTGAGCAGGCGCCAGGTCCTGGTCACAGTCCTTCACCAGGAATGTCCCTGTGGGCAGAGGCTGGGTCAGGCCTGGGGGCTGCTGTCCTGGGCCCGGGGGCTTCTGCAGGGCGCCTGTCCTGCCTCCTGCCTGCGCCAGGCCCTGCTTGCCCCTCCTTACCTGGCCTGCACATCTGGCAGCACAGCCTCTCTGGAGAGCGGTAGTGCCTCTCTGGACAGCTCTTGGGGGCCGGGGTGGCGGAGAGCCCCACCAGGGCCCCCAGCACGCAGAGCCAGCCAGGGGATGGCCAGGCCATGCTGCCCAGGGCGCTGTGTCTGCCTGTTGGCTGCTTATAGCTGGGTGCTGGCGCCTCTTCGCCCTTCCTGGGCAGCCGCCCTGTGTCAATGCAAGCTGGACCTGGGTGGCAGGCGGGGCTCTGCTGCGGTTGGGTCTTTATTTTTCATAGCAGCATCCTCCACCTCCCCTTTTCTGCATCATGGGGAGGAGGGTGTTAAAGGGCAAACTAAGACTCACTGTTCCTCAAAGATGTTTCCTCTCCTTGTTCTCTCCCTCTCTCTCACACACACAGTCACCCATCTCTGTGCCTTGCAGATTTGGACACCCAGAGGCCCACGTGGCTCTCTGTCCAGGATACTGGTAATCTGCATGTCTCTCTCCCCTACTTCACCCCTCCTTTCAGAGATGAACAATGTTAAGAAGGAAGGGGAACTGGCTTTGGATTCACACACTTTTCTCCAAAAGTCTTGGGGTCGGAGGAATATGGAAACCAGACTCTGCACAGGAGCCCCTGGTCCGGCAGGACTTTTGCCGCCCCGCACAGCCATCGATCGATGCGCTGTGCCAGGTGGGGACAGAACTGACTTTGCATCAACCTGGTCTGCTTTTATGGCCATGAGTGCTCTCTGCCGTGTTGTTCTGGCTCAAAGACCAGAGACCCGGGCCTGTGTCTCTTCTTGTCACGCTGGGCTAGGAGATCATGAGTGCCTTCTGATCTTCACACCTGCAATAAGGCACTGCCTGCCGCCTGCCAGATCCCACCCCCTCCTCACTCCGTGCTGCCTCCCCCTCCCTGCCTGCTCTGCTTGGACCGGTACTGGGTGGTCTCCACTGGGCCTTGGGCACCCGGGTGGGTCTATGTGGGCCAGTCCAGTTTCCCCAGTTCTCCTGGGAACCTGATGTGGGATGCTGCGCTCTGTTCTGGGAACATGAGCTGAGTGTGTCCTCTCTACTCCCAGGATCCCCTGTGGCTGAGACAGGGAGTAGCTTGCTTGTCCTGGACACTTTTCATTTGTGGTTTTGCAGTTGTTTCCACACAGCTCATGAAATGTCACAGCCCTGTGGTCGCACCTGGTAGATCTGTGATATCTGTTCTCTCTGTCTCACTCTTCAGTTTCCTTTCTCTTCATTTTTTCCATCCCAGCCCCTCTACAGCTCCTCAGGGGGCTCCACTCAACGGAGAAGCCACATATGTCACTGTCTTAGTTACTTTTCTCATTGCTGAGACAAAATACCCAGCACCCAAGGTTAAAGGAGGAGAGGTTTATTTAGCTCCCAGTTTGTAGAGGTTTTAGTCCATAATCAGCTGGATCCAAGGCAGGGTGGCACATGGCAGAGGGGCAACAGTTCATGGCGGTGGAAGACAGCAAAGGCAACAGGGAACTTTAATAGTGTCTTCCTGCCCCTTTTATTCAGACTATTTAGGGTGGGCAGCACTCACACCCTCTAATCCTAGCACCCTCAGGCTCACTCCACCATGAATCAGTCCCACATTAGACTCAGCCACTTCTGAAAAAGCACGAGGCTTTGGGGGGACATCTTAACATAGCCATAACATCCCACCCTGGCCTCCCAAAGGCTCATGCATTACCTTTTATACAAAAAAGCATTGAGTTCATCTCCAAGAGTCACCAAAGACCTAACAGTTTCAGCACTACTGAAAAGTCCAAGTCCAAAGTCTCCTCTGAGATTTAAGGCAAGTTTTTAGTTGTGAGCCCCTGTGCAAATGAAAAAGTCAAACACTTCCAACTTTTAATGGCAAAAGATAGACATTCCCATTCCAAAAGGAACAAACAGGAGGATAGGAAGGAAAGGGACCAAAGTAAATCCAAAGTCCAGCAGGGAAACATTAAATCCCACAGCTCCACTTCAGCGATGAAGGCAATGTGTGGCAAGTTGAGAGCTCCAAAGGGCTTGGTGGCTGTGCCCCTAGGGCACTTCCAGCGGTGGTAACTCCCATGGTGTCTCTCTAGGGCCTGCTCTGCTCCCTCCTTGTAGCTTCTCTCAGATGTCCCATGCTCCCGCCTTCTCCAAATTTCTGGGGTCTCCACCGTACCTGGGGCCTCACACTCCCAGTCTCACACAGTGCCCTCTCAGGGGCGCCCTGCCGGGCCTCCCAGGCCTTCTTGTAAGACTTGAATAGGCTAAAGTGACTCCATGCTAATAGGCCAGACTGTGCTTCTCCATATGCTAATTGCTACTTTGGTTAACAGCCCGCCCAGGGGCAAATGGTTTGACAAAAGGTGACCCTAGAACATTTCCTGCATAAGATAAGCAATGTGTTTGCAGTCTTGTTCTGTGAATTCCCTGACTCTTCGTTTAGTAAAACCTTATAAAAAGTACCTCAGCCCCTGAGCAGTTGCCTCTCTGAGCCACCTGGCTCCGGGAGTGCCATCTGGCCAGACTAATAAAGGTCTCTTTTACCATCTCACCTGGTGTGTTCCTTCCTGGGTTTCTCGGTTCTCTGTCGTGTTCGCGGAGCCTTGCTGGGTGTTAGGGCCCAGCATCGTGGAGGCCTTTTGGCTGTTCACGCTCCGTGGAGTGGAAGTGAGACTTTAGGTCTTACACCTAATAAACATAGAGGCAAAAAATCCTCAATAAAATACTAGCAAACAGAATGCAGCAAATCATCAAGAAGATCATACACCATGACCAAGTTGGATTCATCCCAGGATACAGGGATGGTTCAACACACACAAATCAATAAATGTAATACACTATATTGACAGAGCAAAGGACAAAAACCATATGATTTTTTTTCTTTTTTTTGGTTTTTTGAGACAGGCTCTCACTATGTAGTTGAAACTGACCTGGTACTATGTAGCCCAGGCTGGTCTCGAACTCACAGCGATCCTCCTGCCTCAGCTTCCCAAGTGCTGGGATTACAGGCGTGTGCCAACACGCCCAGCTTCTATATAATCATCTTAATAGATGAAGAAAAAGCATTTGACAAAGTGCAACACCCATTCATGATTAAAAAAAAAAAAACAACTGTACAGAATATTGGAATAGATGTTCTTTATCTCAATTTGATAAAAGCCACCTACGAGAAACCAATAGTGAACATCACACTAGATGGACAAAAACTAAAAGCTTTCACTCTAAAATCTGGAACAAGACAAGGATGTCCACTGTCACCATTCTTATTCGATATTGTTCTGGAAACATTAGCCAGAGCAATGAGATAGGAGAAAGAAATAAAAAGAATAAGGATAGGAAGACAGGAAGTTAAATTACCATTATTTGTGGGTGACATGATACTCTACATAGAAGACCCCAAAAACTCCACCAAAAGACTTCTAGCTTTAATGACCAAATTCAGTAGCATAGCTGAATACAAAGTCAACACTCAAAAATCAATATCATTCCTATCCACAACAAATTCACTGAGAGAGAAATTAGGGAAACAACAGCTTTCATAATGACACCCCCCAAAATGAGAAGGGCTTCTGGGGCTTCTGTGTGTGTGTGTGTGTGTGTGCCTTCAGAGATGCACGGCGTTTGTGGAGGAGACCATGCCTATGCAGAGGCTAAGAAGGTAGCGGAAGATGACCACAAGGAGATGTCACATGTTCCTCTCCTCAGGCCTGGAGACAAGAGGAAGGGACCAGTCAGGGAGCTCACCTGGATGGGCCAGAGCTCACAGAAGGCTCATTCCCTTCCCCCAGAGAAGAACCCAGTCCAGAAACCCACCTTCCCTCCTCTGGCCAACAGTTTTCCAGGAGGAAGGCAACCTGGGTCCTGCCCCACAGAATGGAGGCCTGAGGTGAGCAGTGGTTCCTGGTCTAGGCGCAGCCAGTGGCCCTCAGCTCTCTAGTCCCCTCTGGCAAGTTTCTCCTCAGATGTCCCCATCTCACTATTCTTCTCCAGACTACTTCCTTCCCACAGGCCCTTTTGCCACCCCACCTCCCCTTCCCTGTCTTGAAAGTTAAGGCAAGCAGGGAAGTCTGGTTTGTTGTTGGGTTGTTTTGTTTTGCTTATTTGCATTTCATACTCACACAGACTAGGTAAGCACTCTACCACTGAGCTATAGCCCCATCCCTTTTGCTTTTTTAATTTGAGACAGGCTCCACTAAACTGCCTAGGCTGACCTCAAACTCCCCCCGCCCCAGTTTCCTGAGTAGCTGGGATTACAGTTTTGCACCATAAGGCCTGGTTAGCGGTGATGATATTTGCCAGAACGTAGGAATGGGGTGAGACTGTTAGCGACACAAAGTCCTCAGGTCCTGAGGTTACCACACTGCGGGAGGGGACTTGCAGGAAGTCCCACCCAATAGTGAAGAAGATGGCTTCCCACAACTGTCACATCACAGCCCTTATGGCTTGTTTTCAGGCGTCCCCGCAAGGCCTCACGCACATATGATGGGGCTCTTTTTTTCAGAGGTGGCTGAATCTGGAATGTGTGATGCTGGGATTAAGGACGTGTGGTTACTAAACCAGTACACCTGAGTGATTGATGTGCACCCCCTCATCCCTGTAGTCTGGATGGGATAAAAGGGGCAGAAAGATGCTGTTAAGGTCTCTTGTTGCTTTTGCTGTCTTCTGCCACCACAAACTGTTGCCCCGGCCATGTGCCACCCTGACTTGGAGCCAGCCAATTACGAACGGAAGCCTTTATGAACTGGAACTGGCTTGTGGGAAGGGAAGAGTTAGGAACAGTTTGAAGTGTTGGCTGCAAGAGAAGAGCTGGAACACCTGGGGCCATGCTGTATGGGAGATTCTGGTCAGGGCTCAGAAGACCGGAAGGCAGTAAACCATGATCAGGAGGTTCCTGCTGGAAAGGACTGCACCGGCTGCTGGACTCCAGACAGTGTTTGCTATGGCTTGGAAGGAAGTTTGCCTGCATTTTACAAATGTCCAGAGTCTGCCAGAGGCTGAGATTACGGGTGGCAGACTAATTAATCTCACAGAAGAAATTTCAAGGCAGTCTAATGTTGAGGCTGTGATATGGTGGCTGCTGGGGGCTTTTAGATAGATCTATGTTGAGAAACAAGAGCAAAGAGCCCAGCAGAATGATTTAAAATGTTTTGAGTTTGGCCAGAAGAGAAGCTCCAGTAAAGCTGTGGACTGCAAAGATAGAGCAGAGGAGATTGTAA